CTGTTTTTCTTATACATTTTATTGTTGGATGTAACTGGGACCCTGTGTACATAATTTCGCTCCACCACATGTACCACATGAGGTGCGAATGACAATAAAGAAACTCTGACTCTGACTCTCTGACTCTAAACAGCCACTGGCCAAAAGGATGGCCCAGCACAGAAGATCAACATCATCAGGCCAGGATTCTGCGGTCTACACTCATCTCCAGGCCAGCGGTCACTCTTTCAAGGATGAAGATGTTCACATCCTGGACAGAGAGGAACGATGGTTTGAGAGAGGAGTAAAGGAGGCCATCTTTGTGAAAAGAAACCGTCTATCATTAAACAGGGGTGGAGGCCTCCGGGTTCAACTGTCCCCCTCTTACAATGCTGTGATTGCTAGTATCACTCAGCCCTCTGTGAACAGTAAACAGCCATCAGTGTGCTAATGATCCATTGTTAGGCTGATGGTCCTTCTTGAGCATGTGATCAGCTGGTTCTGGTTGTCAGCAGCAAAACTGGTTGATCCACTCTGAGAAGGTGCTATTTAAGAGACTGAGCTGAAAACAGCACCTCAGACTGAGGAAGTCTCTTGGATGAGAGACGAAACGTTTCTACATTTTTTTTGCTTTGTTTTGTTTTTCGTTTTTTTTTGAATGTCCAGAGGACCAGATTGAACTTTTTTGGATTTTTCTACCTGGATTATTGAGCATGCATCAGGACAAAGTGTGTTTAGTTCATACCATTTCTAAATGTTGAAGTGAACCACTCATTTTAAATCAACTGTGAAACAGTATTAATGATTTTTAAACCTCTTTAGAAGTCAGAAATCAAGTTAAATGTCTATTTACAAAGTAATTGTGCATTTTGATCTTCTGTCTGAATGAGGAGTAGTCATGTCGGTCAGAAGTCAGGGATGTCGGTCAAAAGTCAGAAAGCAAGTATTAGAACGAAGTGTCTTGTTTTTAAACCTAGCAGACAGTAAATAACTTCAAATGGCATCTGCATTTGTCTCACTTCGCCATAACATTTCTCTGTCTGTACTAATCGTTCCTAAACATTCCTGCAGCCTCTCTTGACTTTTAATAACCCTCTGACATCACTGAAACACCCCCCTGTTGGTTGTTTCAACCAATCAGGAAGTACCAAGTGACCGGAAGTGAGGACTCTTTAAAAAGTCAACACTTCCTGGAACTATTCAGTCTTCAGTTTTTGACTGGAGTCTTCCTAGTCTTTCACCAGAGTCTTCCACTTCAGAGTGGAATCTCTGACTGAAATTTTCCTGAGTCTTTCTTGGGACAATGGAGTCTTCCTGAGAGTTCCTAAGGAACTTTCAGAGTCAATCAATAGCTGATGGATTTGACCGTGAGACGAGGGTCCGTCCATCCCAGCTGGAGTCACAGCGCCTCGCTGTGAACTCACCCGGGCGTAACGCCCTACAACTTCGAAGGAAGCTTGTTCTGCTTAACGGAGTAAACCCACACGACTTCTGACGATGACCTGCCACCCTGACCGGAGATGCTGTAAAGGGATCGTACTAATGGACTTCTGTTCCGGAGTGGAGGTAGCCCCCGCCTAAGGTAACAAAGTCTCTGCACGTCCTGAAGTGTACCGGGGGTTTGAGCTGGTGTTGAAAGAAGCGTGCTAATTCTGGTCAACAAACATACATCTTCCTTCATCCACCTTCCTTTTAAACTTCTCCTTCCTTCCCTTAAAACTTTTCTATTTGCCAGTAATCTAAATGCCTCCATCAGTAATGTTCTGTTGTCTTGTTAGTAAAGCGTGCCAAGTTTTTATTAATCAGAACCAGATCAGCAAATCAATGTGTACATGTTTTGATGTTAAATTTTGATTCTGTTAAATAAATTACCGCATTTATTCTGATGGGTCAAAGAAAAATGGCGTCTCATGTCACTGATTAAACAATCCTCACAGTTGTCTCGGTCAGTCACATGGCATTAATTTAACTCGAAAAAGAAAGAACCCGTTGTATTTAAATAATTAATATTCTTTGTGCTTGAACTAGCTTTAAGAATAATTAATTAGTAGTGAAGCTACAGCTAAGTCTGTACCCCTGCTTCACTACAGCAACGTTTAGCTCTAGATCTGTAAAAGTGATTGTGTTATTGCCATTTCCGTGGTTGCTAACATCATTTAGCTGTAGAAGCCATCTTGAATCACATTGATGTCAAAGGTTTTTGATGGTTTATGTTCATTAAATGACTGCTTTTTAAAAAGTTTAATTAAGATGGATTTACTGGTTTAAGAGATATTGGTCTAACAGACACACATGCGTGCATGCGCTCATGCACATTCTGAATAAACAGATGTAGATCAAGTTATGCAACTCACCTTGATAGGCATCATCTATTGCAGCATAATCTGCTATGGGCTCATCAGCCTGTAGAAAAAACAAATTAACATTAAAATAAATGTTTTGGAATGAACAGAATATTGATAGAGAGATTTACTGTGAAAAGATCAAGAAGAAAGGCATACCTTCAAACAGATGATGCTCTCTGGGATGACACCCAAACTTCCCAGGGTGGCTGAGTCATCTGTCAGACCTTTTCCTTCAATGGAGAGATTCTGGTCAAATGGAGCCACAGAGAAGGCGTGCATAATCTACAGTCATAGGCACAGCAGGATTAATGTTGTAAAAACAGACCGTTGGTAATCTGCAGCAGTGTGCCCTATAAGGTGAAGACCTTACTTGAATCTTGAGCTCTTTTAGTGTTTGATTAGCTGAAACAATGAGTGCTTTCTCCCCTCTGAGTTTCCTGTGCCGAGTGCTTCTCCTGATTCCACCTGCTTTGCTCACAGTGGTCACAGGTAGAGCAGTGCTGTCACTCAACTTTAGCCGCTTTGCACCATCTTGTGACTAGAAGAACGAATTAAAATATTAGCCACAGATCATTTCAATATGTGTTAACAAAAATGCTTAACATAAAGCTTAGACCTTTATTGGTTTAGCAAAAATATAATTGGTATCTGTATTTGCTGATAATACTGTATTCCACTTACTAAGAAAAATTGTTAAGATTATTGTAGTCAGAGTGAGACATTGTGTAAAATGTAAAGAAAAACAATACAATGATTTGTAAAATACATAAACCCATATTTTATTTGCAATGATATAATTTTATTTTTATTTTTAAAACTAAGCTTTGACAATGATGTGTGAAAATATATATAAAAACGGCCATTTTCAACGTGATAATAGCAACACATCTCAAAACAATTCCAGGGACAAAAAAAGGCTGTTAAACACCTGTCTGGCTGTCTTATTTATTTATTTTTTATCCTTTATTTACACAGGTAAAGTGTAAAAAAATAAAATAAAATCCTACATTTTGCATGGTATGTTTTAATTTAGTTCTCTTTTTCTTAAAAGCTTTAGCACTGCTCAAATTACTCAAAAGGCTGTAATGGAATAATATAACAAGAATAGTTGCAGAATAGTTATAATAATAATAATAATAATAATAATAATGTCATCACATTGTCAGCACAGTATGTTTCCATACAATGGCGAAATTAGTCTCTGCATTTAACCCATCCATCACCAGGTGGTGCAGTGGGCAACTATTGAAAGCGCCCGGGGGGGCATTTTGGGGATGAGGTGTGCTGCCCAGAGACACCACGAGGTATGCAGTGACTGGGGATCAAACCTGGGACTTTCGGGTCCCGAGCCGGCTGCCCTGCCTCTACACCATAATAAAGATATTCTCATGGTCTCAGACAGTGGACATGTGTCTATACTTTCCCAGTTAGACCTCAGATCAGCATTTGTTACAGTTGATCACAATATTTTTATTACAGAGGGTTGAATATGCAATAAAACAACATAGACAACTTGGGAGTGCTTTTGGGGGGAAAACCTGGTCTGATGTGGAGAGATGGCATCCATCCCACTTTGAATGGAGCCACTCTTCTTTCTAGGAATTTGGCTGATTTTGTTTGTCCTCCAAATTATTGACAACCCATGCAGGGTCCAGTCCAGGAAGCAGAGTTGTAACCTTACAAACCTCTCTACTGCTTCTCCTCCGTTACCCACCAAAAACCAAATTGAAACGGTGCTAGCTTGTCCACGGCTCAAATTAAATAAACTAAAAATCAGCTCTAATATTATAAATCATAAAAATCTTATTAAAATAAACAATTACTTTACCAGAACAAAGAAAAAAAAAATCATTAAATGTGGATTATTGAACATCAGATCTCTGCCCTGTAAATCCCTGTTAGTTAATGAACTGATAACTGATCATCATATTGATTGATTCTGTCTGACAGAAACCTGGCTACAACAGGAGGATTTTGTTAATATAAACAAATCCACTCCTGTTAATTATTTAATTCAATTCAATTCAGTTTATTTATATAGCGCCAAATCACAACAAAGTTGTCTCAGGGCACTTTACAGGAACATTCAAATAAAAGCCAATTAGTAAAGTTCTCTCTCTAAGGAATCCAGCAGACAAGTTGAATCTTGGCTTCGTTGCAGTCTCCCATCCTGAGCAAGCACAGTGGCAACTGTGGAAAGAAAAACTCCCTTTTAAAAGGAAGAAACCTCCAGCAGAACCAGGCTCAGGACAAGCGGCCATCTGCTTTGACCGGCTGGTTGAGAGGACAGGAACGAGAGACAGACGAATATAGAATGGTAGGTCCAGGTATAGATCCAGGTGTATCTGAAAGACAAAAAAACACATATTAAGGATAGAAAAATATTTACAAATACAAAAGAGGTTGAGCAGAATAAGTAAAGACAGTAGTAGAGTGAAAATTGTGGTCAGTTTGTCCTCCAGCAGACCAAGTCTATAGCAGCATAACTAAGGGACAGCTCAGGAAACCCAAGCCGACACTAACTATAGGATTTAGCAAAAAGGAAAGTCTTAAGCCTAGTTTTAAAACTGGATAATGTGTCAGCCTCATGGACAGAGATTGGAAGTTGGTTCCACAAGAGAGGAGCCTGATAACTGAAAGATCTGCCTCCCATTCTGTTTTTGTAAATTCTAGGAACCACGAGTAAACCTCAGTCTTGTCTGTGTTCAACAGGAGAAAATTAAGGGTCATCCAGGTTTTTATGTCTTTAAGACATGCTTGTAGTATAAGGTCGTTTTCACACTAGATAGTCCGGTAGACTCGGTTTGGGACCAATATTCATGACCTTTTGTTTACATTTGAACTGGTGCATTTGCATTCACACTGCACTGTGCAGTCGAGTAAACCTGTTGATCCAACCTGTTCTCCCACTCGCCTGTGGGGGCGCTGCACCAAGAACTACTGAAAGAAACGACACAAAAACCTCTGAAGACACGTCTTCTTCTTCTTCTGTAAATAAAAATAAAAACGAAGTGGCATCAAGTTTTATCAGTTTTAGGAGTTATATTTTGTCATTTTTCAAAAATGGACTTAGCATGAGCAAAAGATGAGACAGAACACCATGGAGAATATTGTTTTTCACACAAGGCAGCTGACGGCTCCATATAAGCTCAGAGAAATGCGTGTTTGTTTACTCTGCGGAGCGGATCCGGTCTGTTTACACTCACACTGTACTCGAACCGCGCTGGAGTTCGTTTCTAACGGACCGAGACCTAGGTTTTAGCCCGGGCCAGAGTTCGCCTTTTTGTTCCGTGACAGAGTTCAATGGTGCGTTCACACCTCCCTAAATGAACCAGACTTTCTAGGAAAACGAGCTAGAGTTCGATTAAAGCGAACTAAACAGGGCTAGTGTGAATGCACCCTAAGAAGCTCAACGTTTGTTTTCTCAGTCATCCAGGTATATAACAACAAAAAAGGTTGAATCATGTCATCTGGACTTCGTTTTTTTGTTAAAAAGAAACGTTTCGCCCCTCATCCAAGAGGCTTCGTCAGTCTGAGGCCTAGCCATCTGGTATTACCCAGAAGCCACCCTGACACTTGTGTTTCAAGCCTGCCTCAGACACCCCTGAAGTCTGGCCTTTTCACTAATGGTTTCAAAAACACAACGTTTGTTTTCTCAGTCATCCAGGTATATAACAACCCTAAGAAGCTGATTGGATTCATTGGGTTTAATGGACAAATATAATTGATGTCATCAGCATAACAATGAAAATTTATCCCATGCTGTTTAATAACTTTACCTAATGGAAGCATATATAAAGTAAAGAGTATTAGACCAAGCACTGAGCCCTGAGGAACTCCATGACTAACTTTGATGTATGAAGAAGATTTATTATTTACATTTACAAACTGGAATCTATCAGATAGATATGATTTAAACCATTTTAGAGCTGTTCCTGTAATCCCAATATCATATTCAAGCCTCTGTAGTAAAATATTGTGATGAACTGTATCAAATGCAGCACTGAGGTCTAACAGGACCAGTAGAGACACAAGTCCATTGTCTGAGGCCATGAGAATATCATTAGTGACTTTTACCAGTGCTGTTTCTGTGCTATGATGAGCTCTAAACCCTGACTGAAACTCTTCAAACAGATTATTTCTTTGTAGATGTTCACACAACTGACCTGCAACTATTTTCTCTAGAATTTTTGAGATGAAAGTTAGATTAGATATAGGTCTATAGTTGGCCAGAATTTCTGAATCAAGGTCAGACTTTTAAGTAAAAGTTTAATTACAGCAACCTTAAAGCGCTGTGGTACATAACCATCCATTAAAGACAAATTAAGTAGATCCAAAATGTGGACATTAATTAGTGGAAATACCTCTTTAAATAGTCTGATTGGGATGGGATCTAGCAGGCATGTGGATGGTTTGGATGAGGTTATTATTTTTGACAATTCAGAGCTCAACAGGACAAAAACTGTCCAAACATAAATCAGGCTCTAGTGAAATTTTTAAAGATGCCTCATTTGACAGGGGACTAGAGATAGTAGAAGGAAGGATGGTTTGAATTGTCTTTCTAATTGAAACAATTTTATTTATAAAGAATCTCATGAAGTCATCACTACTTATAGTTGTAGGGATACATGGTTCAACAGAAATGGGACTTTTAATTAGTCTAGCAGTAGTACTAAACAGAAACCTAGGGTTATTTTTATTCTCCTCTATTAAAGATGAGTAATATAAAGTTCTAGCTTTACAGAGAGCTTTTTTATATGTTAGCAGACTATCTTTCCAAGTTAAATAATATTCTTCAACATTAGTAGAGCACCATTTTCTCTCCTGGTTTCTAGATGCTGCTTTAAAGTACGTAACTCAGAATTGAACCAAGGAGCCAGTTTCCTCTGATTGATTACTTTCTTTTTCAGTGGAGCAATTTTATCAAGTGAAGTTTGCATTGAAGTTGTAAGATGATCAACGAGATGATCTAAGTCTCTGTTCTCTGATGCATTACTCTGCAAGACAGAGGAAACATTGATGGAAGAGATTGTTTCAATTTGGTTACAGCATTTTCTGATAAGCACCTGCTGAGATGAAATTTACTCTCAGTGACAGTGTAGTCATTTAATGTAAACTCAAAGGTTATTAAAAAATGATTGGACAGAACAGGATTTTGAGGAACTATTACCAAGTCCTTAATCTCTACACCATAGGTCGGAACTAAATCAAGAGTGTGATGATAAGAATGAGTAGATGTGCGGACGTTTTGGGTAAAACCAAATGAGTCTATTAAATTATTAAAGGCTATGCTTAAACTATCACTCTCAACATCTACATGAATATTGAAATCACCCATTATGATGATTTTATCAGTATTTAATAGTAAGTCAGTTAATAATTCTGAGAATTCAGACAAAAACTGAGAGTAAGCTCCTGGTGGATGATATATAACAACTAGTAAAAGTGGCTTTTCTGATTTCCATTTTGGATGAGAAAGACTGAGGGACAGTGATTCAAAAGAATCATAACTAATAACTGGTTTGGCATTAATTAATA